GAGTCATTAACGAATTGTTTGTTGCTTGCTGAGCCTATCTTGGTGGACGAAACGCGTGCTATTCGCAAGATATCTACATTCTACCACTGATTTCCTCATTAATTTCCGTAAATCACCGAAACACGCTAGCTTTCCGAGCCACACTGCTCTACAGCTTGTCCACCAACATATGAGTTGGCTGTGACCCATGGTCACCGCATTTTCCGGAAATTGGGTCAATATCTCGATTCACTCCGAAACTTTGCTTGTGGGGGTGTTGGGTCGGAATGACGCATATGACGTTCGCTTTAGGTGTCAACGCGGACTTCTTCCACCAGTTTCGCTAGAAAACCGATGTGCAGGGGTTGGTGATGGTCTTGATCATAGATACAACATCCATTTGGCTATAGTGCCGTCTGAAGACGGCAATCAGAAATTCAAAACTCTGCTTCAGGTGGATTCCGACCACGAAAGCCTTCTCACTCTCGCCCACCACGCTACGCACTTGAGCACTGATCCTGCAAATCGCTGGTGCCGATGACGCTTATGAAGTTTCTACGCTTTCTTCGGAAACCACATTACGTTGTCTTGGATATTTTCCAATGAGTGCGCCTTTCAATATGCAAGCACTTTTGCCTCTACAACACTTCAAGGCGGTAGAAATTGACTTCAACGACTTTATCGGCTCCAGATTTCAGACCTCATGCAAAAGAAACATTAGCAGTTGTTCTCGTTCCAGAACACACACGTGTACACTCTACTATTAGGTTGTCAGAAAAGTCTTTGGCCATTTCCGATCTGCATGTTGTAAAATCTTCAGGGATAATTTTTGAACATCCATTGTAAAATGTAAACCCTAGTCAATGATCTCTTCAGCATTTCTGTCGTGGTTTTCGCAGCGATTATGGCTGAGAAAATCGTCTTTGACTGAAAGCATATTTGGCTGCTCCTTTTCTAAAACCCAGAAAACGCGTCAATGGAAGCGATGCGGCAAGAGCTCACGTCTTGCGATGGAACCCAGAGTGTCTTTCACGAGCATGGTAAACATTTGGTTGTGAGAGTCCAGAAACTCGAGAAAATGCATAAATTCGGTTGGCTTGTTCCACTGAATGACGAGTGTCTTCTGGAGCTATTCGGAAACAGTCCTCGGAGCAATTCATGACGCAGCTTTTTCAAAGTTATCAGAACACAATAGCCGTTCCTCAATATCTCCTCAAAAGAAGAGAAATTATGGCAAAAGGAGATTTTGTGATATGGGTGACAACCGCCGTCAGAGGCCTTCAGATTTTGCATGAACATTTTGATTTACCGTCTGTCTCTTGTTTGACCCGACTACTTTGTTGGTGGTAATCAGAAGGGGGTTCCTCACGTAAACTGCAGTCGGAAGCGCCAGTGGCCCAGACGCGTAGAATCAAGGATTCCAGCGCCGATTCCAGCACTGCAACCTGGGAGGTAACTTCAGAATTGGTGAAGCTCCAAGCGATTCGTTCACTGACAGCTCCTACCAAAGAACTGCACTGCTATTGTTGAACCATAATATGGGCAAATGGATGGGTTCGCCGGCACTATGCTTTAAAAACATGGAAAAGTTTACTTTACCCAGGCAACGCTCGTCAACGAATTGGAAGAAGGTTCAGCAAAAGTCTCCAAGCCCGTTATGGGACGTTCTGTCCCACCTGTTGCGTTCAGCAGACCCGGCACTAACAGAACTCCATCTCCTTCCGTTGCTGTCAAATCAAACAAAAGAGAGAGGACCTTTTCGAAGAGGACTTCTTCAAGGTTTTTGCTTTAAAAGCTCAGTATTTCCAGACAAACGGCATCCACGAGTTACCTGCTAAAAGGCAATATGTTGGCGATTATGTGGGGCATATATTAGGTTGGAAAGAAAGTCCTGCAACACTTTTTCAATTTTTGATTTTAATTTTATCTTTTTTGTTTACAACTCCTGACCGGTCTTATATCTACCATGAGTGTCCACCACTTGTCTTCAACGCTCAGAAAATTTCTTGATGCTCCTTTGCCAAAACCCAGCGGAGTGCGGGTCGAGAAAGGAGGCGACCTCACTTTCGAGTTGGAGTTGATCGTCTAATTATTTCGTCAAGATGATGATTTAAGGTCCAGGATAGGTGGCAGTCATTTATAGCTCGACCAGGGGAATACGCTAAGAGAGGTAAGAAATCTTGCCGCAGCTCCAGAATTTCTTACCGGGCTATTTCGGATCATGGTGATTCGTCATGAAAGAAATGAATATTGTCGCGGTACGAGGGCTCTTGACGAGCTGCCTCGGCCAGCTTCTGGAGTTCCGCAGCCTAGACCTCTACCTACACAATGGTGCCCATAACGAAGAATTTGTAGTGGAGCTTCCGTAAGAGCCCTACCTGTAATGGAGTGTGCGGGACGCTGCTGGCTTCTTATAAAAATATCAAAAGATCGAAAGCGCTGGTAAAGGTGAAACACGCTGTAGCGGTGAACGGCATGCCTATTGCAGATAGTGTTGGTCGTTGACACGAATCCATAGTTATGGAGACATTTGTACTAGACAGTGACTCGGAGTACGGATTTACTAGTGGTCGAGGTTTTTTGAATTTTCTTGGATAACTACTGACTGCAGCACTTATATCCACCTCGTGGATTGAAGCCTCGAGAATGCTCTACCATTTGTTAGTCATAAATGTTACCTATGAATTTTTCAGAAAAAAAGAAAATTTTAGAAAGAGTGTTGCAGAACTTTCTTTCCAACCTAATATGTATTTGTAGATCTCACTGTGCTAAATAAGAAAAGTAAATTAGAAAAAAGTCAACAAATGGCCAAAGACTTTTCCGACAGCCTAATAATTTGTATTTTGATTGACCAGGTTTGCGCTAAGCTCATATACTACGTCGTTTCAGGAAACAAGCGCCAAAAGTGACATTAATTTTTGGACAACCTATGCATATAACACCTCTGTGGTCTATGTTTACGTCAAACGATTCTTTTAAAACGTCCATGGCGGAACATAATTAAAAAGTAAGGAAAGTATTACCATATCGGTGCGCAAATTTTGGCTAATGGCGTTTCAGTTCGTAATTATTATGGCAATTAAGTTGTTCTAATGTTTTTCGTTGTTTTTGGTGTAATTCAAACACCCATGGTCTCCCGCACATTTTGATACATACATATATCACCCTTGATTGTTATTGTATTTCTAAACTGGTGTTACACATGAGGAAGAATCAGTAAAATTTGCTGTCCCTGATTTCTCTTGATGGCTAGCCCTTCACTTGTGACGAAATTTTCGGTGAAGGATTCTTAATCGAAGGAAACGTTTTTGAGCGTTTTGGCTTCAACATTATCATTCAATTCCAGAAATAAGAAGAGTATACGTTTATTTTT